AAAAGGGAAAGAGACAAAAAGAGAAATGTGGGGAGAAGAGAGATGGAGGGATTAGGTTGGTAGGAGGAGAATGAAAGAGAGAGAGAGAGAATGAGAAAGAGGGAGAGAGGTGAAGAAGGAAGAGAGACATAGAGAGAGAGAGAGGGGCGTGCAGAGGAAGAGGACAGAAAGGGGAGAGAGACAAAAAGAAATGTGAAGAAGAGAGAGATGGAGGCATTCGGTTGGTTGGAGGAGAGCGAAAGAGAGAGAAGGAGCGAGGGAGGGAGAGAAAGAGATGTGTAAAGAAGGGAGAGAGAGGTGGTGGGGCAAAGAGAGAGATAGAGAGAGAGAGACATGCAGAGGAAGAGGAGAGAAAATAGAGAGAGACAAAAAGAGAAATGCAAAGAAGAGAGATGAGGAGATTAGGTTGGAGGAAAGCAAAAGAGAGAGAAGGAATGAGAGACAGAGAGAGAGAGAGAGAGAGAGACAGGTGTAAAGAAGAGAGAGAGAGAGAGGGAACGGGGGAGGGGGAGAGAGACAGGTGAAAAGAAGAGAGAGAGAATGAGGGAACGGGGAGGGAGAGAGAGACAGGTGTAAAGTAGAGAGAGAGAGAATGAGGGAGAGAGAGACAGGTATAAAGAAGAGAGAGAGAACGAGGGAGGGAGAGAGAGACAGGTGTAAAGTAGAGAGAGAGAGAGGGGGGGAACGAGGGAGAGAGAGAGACAGGTGTAAAGAAGAGAGAGAGAACGAGGGAGAGAGAGAGACAGGTGTAAAGAAGAGAGAGAGAATGAGGGAGAGAGAGAGAGACAGGTGAAAAGAAGAGAGAGAGAATGAGGGAACGAGGGAGGGAGAGAGAGACAGGTGTAAAGAAGAGAGAGAGAACGAGGGAGAGAGAGAGACAGGTGTAAAGAAGAGAGAGAGAATGAGGGAGAGAGAGAGAGACAGGTGTAAAGAAGAGAGAGAGAACAAGGGAGAGGGAGAGAGAGAGAGAGAGACAGGTGTAAAGAAAAGAGAGAGAGAGAGAGACAGGTGTAAAGAAAAGAGAGAGAGAGAGAGAGGGACTTGCAGAGGAAGAAGAGAGAAAGGGGAGAGAGACAAAAATAGAAATGTGGGGAGAAGAGAGATGGAGGGATTAGATTGGTTGGAGGAGAGTGAAAGAGAGAGTGAATGAGGGAGGGAGGTGTGAAGAAGTGGTGGGGCAAAGAGAGAGATGGAGAGAGAGGGACGTGCAGAGGAAAAGGGGAGAAAAGGGAAAAAGACAAAAATAGAAATGTGGGGAGAAGAGAGATGGAGGGATTAGGTTGGTAGGAGGAGAATGAAAGAGAGAGAGAGAGAATGAGAAAGAGGGAGAGAGGTGAAGAAGGAAGAGAGACATAGAGAGAGAGAGAGAGAGAGGGACGTGCAGAGGAAGAGGACAGAAAGGGGAGAGAGACAAAAAGAAATGTGAAGAAGAGAGAGATGGAGGCATTCGGTTGGTTGGAGGAGAGCGAAAGAGAGAGAAGGAACGAGGGAGGGAGAGAAAGAGAGATGTGTGAAGAAGGGAGAGAGAGGTGGTGGGGCAAAGAGAGATAGAGAGAGAGAGGGAGACATGCAGAGGAAGAGGAGAGAAAGTGGAAAGAGACAAGAAGAGAAATGTGAGAAGAAGAGAGATGGAGGGAATAGGTTGGTTGAAGAAGAGAGAAAGAGGGAATGAGGGAAGGAGAGAGAGAGAGACAGGTGTAAAGAAGAGAGAGAAAGAGAGGGAGAGAGAGAGACAGGTGTAAAGGAGAGAAAGAGACAGGTGTAAAGGAGAGAGAGAGAGGGAGAGAGAGAGAGGGGAACAAAGGAGAGAGAGAGACAGGTGTAAAGAAGAGAGAGAAGGGGAACGAGGGAGAGAGGTGTAAAGAAGAGAGAGAGGGAATGAGGGAGAGAGAGAGAGACAGGTGTAAAGAAGAGAAAGAGAGGGAGAGAGAGAGACAGGTGTAAAGGAGAGAGAGAGAGAAGGGGAACGAGGGAGAGAGAGACAGGTGTAAAGAAGAGAGAGAGAGAGGGAACGAGGGAGGGAGAGAGACGAAGGAGAGGAAGAGGAGAGAAAGGGGAGAGAGAGAGAGAGAGACTGAGGGAGGGAGAGGAGAAGAGAGAAAGGTGTGAATGAAGGAGGGAGAGAGAAAGACAGGTCTAAAGAAGAGAGAGAGAGGGAACAAAGGAGAGAGAGAGTCAGGTGTAACGAGAGAGAGAGAGAGAGAGAGAGAGAGAGGTGTAAAGAAGAGAGAGAGAGGGAACAAAGGAGAGAGAGAGTCAGGTGTAACGAAGAGAGAGAGAGAGAGAGAGAGAGACAGGTGTAAAGAAGAGAGAGGGAACGAGGGAGAGAAACAGAGACAGATGTAAAGAAGAGAGAGAGGGGGAACGAGGGAGAGAGAGAGAGACAGGTGTAAAGGAGAGAGAGAGAGAGGGAACGAGGGAGGGAGAGAAACAAAGAGGTGTGAAGAGGTGGTGGAGCAAAGAGAGAGAAAGAGAGGGACGTGAAGAGGAAGAGGAGAGAAAGGTGGAGAGAGAGAGAGACTGAGGGAGGGAGAGGAGAAGAGAGAAAGGTGTGAATGAAGAAGGGTAGAACGAGGGAGTGAGAATGAGAGAGAGAGAGAGAGAGAGAGAGAGAGGGATGTGCGGAGGAAGAGGAGAGAGAGAAGATAAGAGAGGGAGACATAATGAGAGAGGAAATGTGGGGATTATGTTGGTAGACGGAGAGAGAGAGAAAGAGAGAGAGAAGAGGAGAGATAGAGGGAGGGTGAGAGGTGAAGAGGAGGAGGAGGAGGAGGAGGTGTGGAGGAGAGAGAGAGAGAGAGAGAGAGAGATAAGCGGGCGGAGTGATGGATGGCGCTCAGACAGAGTAATAGAATCCTGGGTACACAGTGAACCAACGAGACCCCCAGAGCCCGACGCAGGACCGAGCCAGAACTAAACCAGGACCAGGAGCCAGGACTAAAAGTAGAGTGAGCTTGGACTATGACGGGACTAAAACTGGACTGAACCGGAAATGGACCAGAACTGAGCCAAGACTAAAACTGGACTAAACCAAGTCAGGAGGACTAGACCAAATCTGAACCAAAACCGAACCTTAACTATGACAGGACTAAAACTGGACTTAAACAGGAACTGGACCAGGTCTGAGCCAGGAATAAAACTGGAGTGAGCTAGGACTATGCCAGGACTAAAAGTGGACTGAGCCAAGACTAAAATAGGATTGACCCGGAAATGGACCAGAACTAAGCCAGGACTAAGACAGGACTGAAACAAGACTGAGCCAGGACTAGACCAAATCTGAACCAGGACTGAACTGTAACTAAACCAAGACTCAAACTGGACTTAAACAGGTCTGAACCAGGACTAAAAGTGAACTGAACCAGGATTATGCCAGGACTAAAACTGGATTGAATCGGAAATGGACCAGAACTGAGCCCAGACTAAGACTGGACTAGAACAAGACAGCAGGACTAGACCAAATCTGAACCAGAAATGAACCTTAACTAAACCAAGATTAAAACTGGACCGAACCGGAACTGGACCAGGTCTGAGCCAGGACTAAAACTAGAGTGAACTAGGACTGAGCCAAGACTAAAACTGGACTAAAACAAGACAGCAAGACTAGACCAAATCTGAACCAGAACCTTAACTAAACCAGAATTAAAACTGGACTGAACCAGAACTGGACCAGGACTGAGCAAGGACTAAAATTGGATTGAACCGGAAATGGACCAGAACGAAGCGAGGACTAAGACAGGACTGAAACAAGACTGAGCCAGGACTAGACCAGAGCTGAACCAGGACTAAAACTGGACTTAAACGAGACTGAGCCAGGACTGAGCCAGGACTAAAACTGGACTGAGCTAGGATTATGCCAGGACTAAAACTGGATTGAACCGGAAATGGACCAGGTTTGAGCCAGGACTAAGACAGGACTATGCCACGACTAAAACTGGACTGAACTGAAAATGGACCAGGACTGAGCCAGGACTTAGACAGGACTGAACCAAGACTGCAGGACTAGACCAAATCTGAACCAGGACTAAACTGTAACTAAACCAGGACTAAAACTGGAATTAAACAGGACTAGAACAGGACTAAGACGCGGAACTGGACCAGGTCTGACCCAGGACTTAAACAGGACTGAGCCAGGACTAGAACAGGACTAAACCAAACTATGTTCAACATCACATCATCTTTAAAAGTCCAATATGACACAAAATGGAGCTTTAAATCGTGTTATAATGTTGTTTCCTCGTCAAAAACAGACCTGGACCAAATAGTGAAAGTGTATGAAGTTTAAAAACACAGTGGAGCACGTTTTGTCTTACCACATGACATCACAAGTTGCAACAGAGTGTTTTTTTGTTTGTTTATTTGTTTGAGAGAAGCCAAAATCTGCAGGGTTTGTGTGAACTACTGAACAAAACTAAAGTTATGATCATGAATAAAACAGAAGTAACTTGTTCACTCAAACTGATTCAAGAATGAAAATAAAAAATCGATTTCATGATGTCGATATTTGCATAGATAAATAGATTTGTGCAGTTCGAATGCTCGACATCTCTAGGACCATAACATTAGGCCAGGTTAGGTTAGGTCGCTTTATTCGTACCCGTAGGTAAATTTGTTTTGCAGATTTGAGAGGCTGTTTCCACATTTCACTCAACTACATTATGAACAAAAAACACGTATAAAAACACAATTTATTCCGCTCTCCTTGCGTGTTTCTAACACAATTTAGCGGTAAGCGTAACTCCTTTTTGGAAACATGCGCAGAGTCACGATGTAGCGTCCATAGCTCCAATTTATCTCTCCACAAAGGTTCCAAAAAACAGAGTAAAACTGCAAAACATAAAAAGCTGCATTTAGCGCAGTGCAAAATATAACAGAGGTTAGCTTAACTACAAGCTACTACACCATATGATACTTAATCTTCAATAAAAATGCATTTCTAATAACCATTTATAACAAATAAAGCAAGGATATTATACTTCTTATCTGTATAAAAAACAACTTACAGACAGTGAGGTCAAAGGCACGAACAAAAAGGCAGATGTTAAAGGATGAACACATGTGCTGCTCAGGGCAAACAAAAACAACATAAAGCTAACTTCCTGTCATGACTTCCTGTCTGTCAAGAGACCTCCAAAATAAAAGACAGGCAGCAGCAAATACAATCTACTGGTAAAAACAACTGTATAAAACAACATCCCAAACATTTTTAGGGCAAAACACAATTACAAAATAAAGTTTACAGAGCTCCAGTGCAGAACGGTTTGTTCCATAAACAATTAGTTAAATTCATCCATCATGCTTGGATAAAATCACAACAAATATTAATATGTTAAAAACACGCAGTCTTTAGATAACAACAAAAATTAAATATCTGGGGCATATCATCAGTGCGAACATGACAGAGGAGGATGATGTGTACAGACAGTGTAGGACGATCTATACTCAGGTAAATACTCTTATGCGTAAGTTTGGTTCTTGTACAAATGATGTAAAGTTGTTATTGTTTAAATCTTTTTTTTTTTTTTATTATTAAAGACAGCAGAACATAACATTCAAAAAAACAAAACAAACATCAACGTTTAACAATTGCAATATTCAACATAAAAACAAAAAGCAACAACCACAACAAATACAAAAAAGGCCCCCCCCCCCCCCCCAACCGCCCCACACCAACACAAAGTCAAAACAATATAAATGTGATAGTGCAACACAAACACACCGCTAGGCTCCCGAACACTTGATACACTGCGGCCAATTTATAATTGAAGTTCCTTTTGTCTCTCTTCTTCCTTCCCTTTTTTTTTTTTTTTTTTTTTAATTATAAATTTTTAAATGTATTAGTCCCTATACTCAAACTAATATTTATTTTCACCATCATCAGTTCCCCTCATCATCTTTCACCATCATGTCACAATCTCAAAAAAACATAACCCTAAAGGCATTTCTTTTTATTAATTATTATTATTACTGTTATTATTATCACTATTATTCCTACTATTATTTCCACTACCTTTCATCACTATTACTATTTTTATTATTATTAATTATTATTACATCCATAATACCTATTATTATCTCTACTATTAATTACAATAATTACAACAATAATATTTCATTATTATTATTATCATTATCATTGGTAGTAGTAGTAGTAGTAGTAGTAGTAGTAGTAGTAGTGTCAGTAGTCCCCAATAGTAGATATATGAATATTATATAGATCCCTACTTTAAATCTTTATGACCGACATCAGTTTTATAAGATATATTAGCATATATATCACATACTAATTTTCTCCCAGGTATTTAAGAACTTCCCATCTCTTTTTATACTTTTTTTTCTCTTTGTCTGTTTCAATTGTGTAACCTTCCCAGGTTAAGTACTGATAAATATATTTTTTAATTTTATTTTGTTTAAATCTTATTGTTCACCTCTGAACTAATTATAAAAAATCCAGTTTGCAAAGACCGCAGGTGTTTACAATGACGCTTTACGGAGCTTTTGAGGAGCCACGATGGACGAGTGCGACTGAAATGTTTGTTACTGCTCGAGTGAAAACTTTACAAGCTGCGCTAAGAATTTTAATGTACAGTTTTATCTGCAGACTGAACAAATCAGACAATGAAATAATAATGTCACTCACAAACCTGAGCTTCAGTGCAATAAGGTATCAGTCCAACATGTGGAGACACTGGTGAGGCTGTCTTTTAAAAACATGAATGTTTATAGTTTTGTATGTTATTAGGTTCTTTTTCTCAGACCTAGAGTGTTATTTCATATCTATTCTTGAGGTTCAGGCTGGGTGGTGTAATTCCCTCGTCCCGGCAACGCAGGTTGAATCGGAGATGGTTACGGAAACGTGCCCTTTTTGATTCCAGTTGTTGTGTCATGGACAACAATGTGTCAAGGAGTTCCGGAAATTAGAACAACTGAAATCAAAAAGGGCACGTTTCCGTAACCATCTCCGATTCAACCTGCGTTGCCGGGACGAGGGAATTACACCACCCAGCCTGAACCTCAAGAATAGATATGAAATAACACTCTAGGTCTGAGAAAAAGAACCTAATAACACAGAATATTGTTTGGTTTATTGTTTTGTATTGTCACTGTCCTTGTCTGTTTTTTTAAATGGACCATGAGTCTGGAATAAAGATGATGATGAGGATGATGATGATAAATAGATTACAATTTATTCATAAGTACGACAGCAGCCGGAACAAAGCTCCTTTTAAAATGATTCGTTCTAGATCTTGGGACTAAAAGCCTCAGACCAGAAGGAAGCAGCTGAAACTCTGAGTTTAGTGGATGTTGCACGTCTCTTAAAATCCTCTGGGACGTCCTCTGTAACTGTCTCGAGTACAGAGTCCAGCGGCTCTGAGGATGAACAATCACCTCACTCATCCATTTAACCGACTGATTCAGGGAGTTCTTGTTTTTAGCAGAAATTAGTTTTGTTCAGTGTGTCACTAATGCGTCGTCATTGTTGTTCTCCTTTAATCAATCAATCAATCAATCAACAACTTTATTAATCCCAAAGGGCAATTCAGTTCGCACATCTCTGGTCATGCACAATATATAAATATAAATAATAAAGAAAAAGAAAGACAGACACCGTACGTTCAAACCACAGTGCATCAGGGACACAGCAACAAATTCACTTTCCGTTTAAAATCCTTATGGCAGAAGGAATAAAAGATTTGGCGTAGCGGTTGGTCTTTTGCTGTGGGGTGACATAGCGCCATAACTGTGAGCGCAGAACATGGTTAGGCTCAGTGTGGCCTTAGTCTTTTGTAACACCCGATGTCTCCACACAGACGCCAAATCCTCCATCTGAACACCACTGATTTTGCCGCACACTTTTACAATCTGGTTCAGACTGGTTCTCGTCTTTCACAGATCATCCATAAAACCAACAGATAAAAGAAAAGGTCAGCAAACTTTCAATAAAAGAATGATAAAAATTATTTAAAATATTAGACGATACATTAAAAGAGCTGAGCTTCCGCATCAAGTGAACCCGCCGCTGTCCTCGTTTGACGATGTGCTCAGTGTTCTTATCAAACCTTAAAGACGAATCAAACACAGTTCCCAAGTACTTATAAGAGTCGACCATTTCTGCTGCTTCCCCATGGATGGAACTGGCTGTTGGGCTGTGGACTTTTTTCCGGAAGTCCACAACCATTTCTTTGGTTTTGGCTACCTTTAAGTTTTCGTCTTTCTTCACTTGATAGCTGTTTATAAATTCATCAAATTCCAAAAACCTACAGCGAGACACTTCCGACCTCTGTTGTCTTTAAAAAGAACCCAAGAATTTACTGTACATACAAAGACAAATGAACGTTTTGGGGTCAGAAAAGCGTGATATGTGCCCTTTAACTCGCACAGCAACAGCATTAGAATGACCCGCTTCGAGAAACTGTAGACTTCACACACCGACTTTTACACTGACATTATTAAACGACTTAATGAGAGTGAAACATGCTCTGCTCAAACCTTTTATATGTGACATAAGACGAGTTACATCAGACTTGTGTAACGTGTTATGGGACGTTCATTACGAGACATAATGCATTCACTTAACCACTCCACTCACACTTACAAGTTCACTTAGGAAATCAAAGAGTCTAGATGACGCTTTATAGGTTTTATTCACACTAGGAAGACGTTTGGAGAACAAAACTGGGCCATTTTTCTTACTTTTCCCAGATTCTGTCAGACTGATTTTGATTTTGAACAGAGCCGTCGGAACTTGTTGCTGTTATACCGTCGTCCCTCGCTATATCACTGTTCACCTTTTGCGATCTCGCTGTTTTGTTGTTTTAGTTTTTTTTTTAACAGTATGAACTTGTATTGTATTCCTCCCTCTGCGTCCTGATTGGATAAGAGCCTGTAGACCATTGTCAATCTGTTCAGTTTGACAAATTTACATAAATGTTGGATCTCTACGAGTGTGTTTACATGCACATCAGTATCCTGGTTATTATCCATATCAAGGTTATGTCAGTATAGGCGAGTTTCATTGTTGACAAAAGCGCGCGTTGCATGCTGGGAATTATTTTGGTCGGCGGCAAGAAACACTAATTCAACATCAACGCCGCGAAAACACTCCATACGCTGGAATGAATCTACAAGAAATCACCCCAAGTTTGGTTCGCTGGCTTTTGCCCTTTGGTCTTCTTCTTCAGGACCTCAAAACGGACTTTACTTTGCGGCAATGCTCCTAGATTCTTGTCGCCATCGCAACAAACTTTGTGCGAACTGCGAGGAGATATATGGGTCAAAAAAGCCGCTAAGAACTGTTGCGTTGGTGGAGATAAACAGCGTCTGTGCGTCATGCGTCTGTGACTGAGTGACAGACGATACGTAAACCAGGTTAACCTAACAGCGCAGCGCAAGTCAAGTTACACTAGGGAAAAATACAAACGTTAGGGGAGTTTGATTTGACAGCCTGTCAGCTCACAGATAACGAGGCAGTGTTGTTATCTATTGGCAATTGTTTAAGCCATAACCACCACAAAAAAAAAATCAGCTTCCATACAACCTTTAAGACCACATGACTCATTTACATAAACTGTTAGCGTTAAAAACAGCTGCTCCTTGTGCCGCTGATGTGTTCACCTTCTTTTGGACTAAATGACACGACTCTGGGATTATGTGTGTTCTTTTTGTGACAGAGAGGTCTGATGATTGTGAGTCTGTTCTTGTGTGATACATTATAGAAATAGTTCATGTTTTAGCTTTTCAGAGATCATATGAGTGCAGATGTACATGTGCAGGTTTAGCGCAGTTTTATTTTACAGTCATTTCACTGTGTATGGTCATTTTTATCAATTATGTCGGTCACTTTAATTTTTGTCGCTACTGTTGTGTGAAAAGACTGGAAGTTCTTTTGGACACGATGCACATCAACTTTATGTTGTACGTTTACAGCCACAAGAACCCGGTTACTATCGGAATATACCAGCTACAGTCAGTTGGGGAGTGATTACACTACCGCCGTTTAATCAGAGTACAAATTATGAGTAACTGTATCCGTTACAGTACTGTTTCAATGATGGTAATTGGATTACAGTTACTTTGCTGAAATAAGTGGATACAAGGCGTTATTTTCCTGTTTCACATTTGTGCTACATCCCATTTATTTATTTTTTTATTTCGGTAATTTCACTCATTGCCTGAAGCCCAAACAACGCGCGCAATAAGA